TTGGAAACTGAAAGCCAGGGAGGATGAGTGACTTGCCCAGGTAGTCAGTATCAGAAGTGGGATTAGATAGCTGAGGTTTTCTGAAGGTTATCCTTTCATTTTTATAGATAAGGAAACTGAGGTCCAGGTAGGTTGGGTAACTTGTCAGGCTTTGAACCCAGGTTCTCTGACTCTGGAGCCAAAAGGTTTCCTAAAGGGCATCAGAACAACTCTTAGGTAGAAGAGACACTGGCTAAACTCTAGGAATGGTCAAAGCAGGCCATGCCCACCCTTGGAAAAGAGTGCTTAGAACTGTTTAGAATGGCAGGGTAATTCAAGTAGGATACTCAGTGTCTCTAAATTCGCATGTACACTCACTCCTTTTTCTTTTTAAGAAGACTGGGAATTCCTATCACGTTCAGGCTGGAAGGAGTTACGCACAGACATGGTCTCACCCTGATGAGCATGGGAGCTTGGACCTGCTCCATTTTCAACATAGGCTGGTTTGTCCTGCCTTAGGCAATGTGCTGGTCCCCATTCCCAGAGGCTCACCCTGGTTGTTCTGGGCATAGTGCACATATTTGATCAGCTTAGCCCACTATAGCTCAAAACTCCTGAGCTCCAGAGATCCAACACCTCCACCTCCCCAGCGGTAGGGATTACTGATGTACACCCTCATATCTAGTTCAAACACTAACTTAAAGAAGAGTCCTGATAATTCTATGTCTGAATCACAGGTCACACGGGTAGCAAGTATCAGATTTAGGATTTGAAACCCACTTCCTCTGCCCTTTTCACCACTCTTACTCAAGATTCTATCACAGAGCCTGATGCATTTATGTAGCTTATTTCATGCCCTGTTCTGTGGCTATGGCTCTTTGAAGGATTTCATAAACTATCTTTCTGAATAATGATAATAATAATTATTATTATTATTAACTGCAATAGCAGTTAATATATTGCCCTTTAAGGTTTGCAACATGATTTACATGCTCTATCTCATTAAATTCTCATAACAGCCAGGTAAGGTAGGTACCATTAATAACTCCATTTTACAAATGAAGAAGCTGAGGGGTTGAAAAAGATTAAAAGCAACTTGACCAGAGTCATGTGCCTGGTAAGTGTCTGAGGCAGGATTTAAACTCAGGTCTTTCTGACTCTAAGTCAGTTCCATCCTGGATCCTCTTCTCTTCTCTCCCAGCTCCCATCAGTTCAAATATATCTTCATGTAGATGGGGCTCAAATCTACCTATCCAGCCTTCATCTTACCCCTGAGATCCACTTCAGCATCTCTACATGTCTTCTGGACATCTCCATCCAAATGGCCTGTTAGTATCTCCAAAGGTAAGTTCAAAATTAAACTCGTTATCTTTCCGTTTTTTCCAGGCACATGTCAGCAGGGAGTTAAGAAGAGAGGGAAAGGTCCCATGCATACCAAAATATTTATAGCATCATTAACTAGGGTGGTACAAAATTTGAAACAATATGGGCAGACACCCTCTTATTAGGGAATGGCTGAAGACACTGCAATATATGAATAGAATGTAATAAAGTATCATATAAGGAATTCAGGGAAACTTGAAAAGACAGATGAACTGATGCAAGGTGAATAAAACAAACTAAGAGAACAAGATTCAAAATAATCAAAATAAAATACAGAAAGCAATATGTAGACATCAGAACTCAGTTCAGTGGAAAACCAGTCTTGATACCAGAGCACTGATAATGAAACCTATTTGCTTTTTCCAGACGGGGGGGCAATAGAGTGACTATACACAAATTCAGAATGCCAAGTATGGTATTAGGCATGGCTAAGGAGTTCATCTTTTCTGTTTAACTATTTACTTTGTGAAAAGGGACAATTCTATTGAGGACTAAGTAGATTATTAGGATATGACAGCAATGTAAAAATAATTAAAGCATCAATAAAACATTGCAGGAGACAACATAGTACAGTGAAAAGAGTTATTGGCTCTGGAGTCAGAAAACCTGGGTCGAATCCATCTTTTGATACATTGGCTATGTTACCTTGGATAATTCACTTACTCTTTCACCAGGTCTTATTCTCCTCTATATCCCTCCTCTATAAAATGAGGGATTTGGATTAGAATGTTTCTAAAGTTCCTCCCAGCCCTGTATTTATAATCCTATTATTTTAAAAAGAAAAACAAGCAAATCAGAGTATTATACTCTAGTGCTGATCTTGAAAGTTCCTTCTGTGAGTAATAGCCTAGGTATTTTTTTTTTGCCCACTTCAACATTACTGTCAAGAAAATTCAGTTTGGATTGATGATTTCAGTAACCAAATGCGAACAAAACACTGGCCAGATGGCTCTAACCTTTCCTTTAAACAGCCTTGTTCCTCTAAGCAACAAGCCATGCTGCTGGTTGCACAGACAACCTCAGAGCAAGAGAAGTAAGGCAAATACCTGCATTATGTAGTATAGGGAAAAAAAAAACCCTCTATTGGTCAAATGGTCAAATAACCAAATCATACTGCAATAATGACAAAAGTTCCACCACAACACATTGGTGCAGGGACTCCCTCCCTCCGCTGATGCAGATCTGATCATCTGTAGGTTAACCTCATCACGCCATAGTAAGGAGGGACCTTGCATTCTCAAAGGCTATAAAAGCATGTCAGGCTCTAACAAGCTAAAAAGACACTGGATATGGGCTTGCCAATGGGCACCAGCTCTGATGTCTGAGGACAAGTTGGGGTAAGTTTAGAAATATTCACCTGTAGTGGCATTGGCCACAAAATGATGAAGATTTTTTTCTTTCTTTTTCTCTTTCCTTTCCTTCTTTCCTTTCTTCCTTTCTTCTCTCCTTCTTCATTCTCTCATTCTTGCTCTTACCCTCCCTCTGTCTTTATTATAGCAATTTAAATAAGTCATAAATCATAGATTCTTAGAGATAGACAGGACATAGATGCTCTGTAAGGTTCTTTCCTGCTCTGCCATTCTCTGAGTTCTAAGTAACCTTAGTAACCATGGAATTCATCCCTCTCATTTTACAGATGAGAGAGCAGAGATCTCAAGAAGAAAAATGACTTTCCCAAGATCACATAATCTAACTGGTAGAAGTAAGACCCAAATTCAGATCTCTTGATTTCTAGCCCAGTATTATTTAATTGCATTAAAAAGCTAGGTAGCACAATGCATAGAGAGCTGGATTTGAATTCCAATTCTGCCTCAGAAACTTCTTAGATGTGTGACAAGTCACTTAGCCTCTCTCAGACTCTCCTCACCTGTAAAATAGGAATAATAATAGCACCTATCTCACAGCGTTGATGGGAAGATCAAAATGAGATAACATGTAAAGTGCTTTGCAAACCTCAAAGAATTATATAAATGTTAGTATTATTGTTAGTATTATTATTATTACTATTATCAGGCATTAAGATCCTTTAAAAAAATCACTCTAATTCTCCACACCATTTTGTGTGAATTGAATGCAATATTAATCATTCAAGATCTTACAAAGGGATTCTCATTTTGCTATTTATGTTTCCAAAATAGTCACAGTTTTAAAGCTGGAAGAGGCCCTAGAGATCATCTAGGTCAGAGGTGTCAAACTTGCAGGCCCATAGCCAGCCAGCAGAATTCCTTAGGAGTGGCCAAGAACCAAATTCAAATGCATTTGGGAAATTTTAAACAAAATAAATTAAAATATAATACAACACAGAAAATGTTAATTTGTGGTTTTCTAAATCCATATGCCATCCAGCATCCATTTCTCTTTGAGTTTGGTGCCAATGATGTACAGCAATCTGAGAGGTTCAATGACATTCCTAAAGCTAGTAAGTGGTAAAGTCAGGATTTTAAGTCCAGTCCTATAGCACTACCTCCAGGGTCAGTGGCTCTAGCCGGCAAAGACTGTTTTGGACTTAGCTATACAAAGATATTTAGGCTCCTACTATGATTGTTTTAGTAACCTGGACCTTGGCATTAGAGCTAAGAGGCACATGGCAGACCATCTGGTCCAACACACTTATTGAACAGATAAAGAAACTGAGGACATGACAGATAAAGTAAGTCACACTGCATCACTCAGCAAGTTAGACACAGAGCTGGGGCTTGACCTCAGGTCCTCTCACTTCTAGGCCATCCTATTCCATCATCTCCCTAATTCTGACTCCCCAGAAATGGCCCCAAAACTTCCTCAGGAAGTTCCTAGCCTACCACATCTTTAGGACAAAACCACAGAGGGTAATGATCTGCTTCAGCAGTTAGTAGAAATCCTTTTTTTTTTACTTCTAAAAATCACTTTTTCTTTTTCAATTCTGATTTTATAAAAGGCACCATCTTCTTGTCCCCTGCATTGCACCTTGGGTCCTTCCCTCATTAGCATTCTGTGCATACTATTGCTGACCTACTTTCTGATTTTCTTCCCAACCCTCAGCCCCAGGGGTGTGGGGAGGCTCTCCTCACAGTACAGTTGCCTCTCCTCCCCACATCAGTATCTGAAGAACACAAGGGATCATATAATTTTCAGTGACCCATTCAATCTCATTGCCTCTTTGTGCTGGCTTGATTTATGTTGTAATATGATTCTGAGAAGTGGCAATACCCAGAGTAGCGATGGGGGTGTCAAGGGGAAGGGAGACGGGATATCTGCCCCAGAAACTTGATTAGAAATCCTTCTTTGTGGTATAGCATAAGAAAAACATCTGGGAAAAAATGTGGAATACTCTACTCTTCACCCATATATTTTGTTTGCTTAATGCCAAACATCTGGATGTAAACATCTGAATGGTTGATCCTTCCTCACCCCCCAACTGTCGAGCCTAAGCACCAGCCATCACAGACAGAGCTGATGTTTCCCATTCTTATATGGAAGTATAATAAAGATGAATTTATCATGAAAGGAATGGTTTAATTAGATGCCGAAAAATCTTTTTAGTATCTCTTGGCCAGTGGTAAGATGTTTTAAGATGGATCATGTTTCAAAATGTGCCCAGTGATTGTCATGCACTGGGCATCATTGACTGCTATGACGGACAGTCAGCAGCCACTTACCAGAATCTTTGTGGTATAAGCACTGTTGATGGCGATGGCATTCACCAGCAGCTCCAGGGTTTGGGAGTTGATGGCGCTGGGTGCTGGAATCTCCTTGTAGTGGACATCCCCAATGTATGCCTGCACAACAGTCATCCGGTTGGTGGTAAGTGTCCCCGTCTTGTCAGAGCAGATAGCTGTTGCGTTGCCCATTGTCTCACAGGCGTCCAAGTGGCGTACAAGGTTGTTGTCCTTCATCATTTTCTGAGAGAGAGAAAGAGAAGGAAAAACATAGCCTGCTCACAACTGGCTTTGGCCAAGTGGCAGGAGCTTTAGTGAAGAAATGACTTCCATCACAGCAATGTGAAGGGAAGGGGCCCATATTCTAAGAATTATGACTAATCGATCAAGTGGTTTTATGATGAATTGGTCTGTTTTCTTTCAATGTGTAAAACCTTGTGGAAAGGGACATTATTATTAGCCTCAAACATGATTGGCTGGTTTGTTTACCAGTTCTACCACTTCCTCCATTCCCATCTTCCCAAATACTTGGGGGCCCTCAACCTATCAACACATTGGAAGTAAATAAAAATTAAAATCTTATGAGACTGCTAGAATTGTGTATAGGATCTGGACAAGTGGGCACATAATAACTTATAAATCTATCATGAGTAAGGTACCAGTTTGTACCCTGGAGTTGATAGCACTTTTAATCTTGTTCTAAATGGCATCTTTTCTTAATAATTATTAAACAAGGATAGAAATTAGATACATTAGTATTAGTTATATTATGCTATTCGTTTAATATTTTACATTTTCACTTTTTGTTGGGAGAAAACAATATTTTTTATTATCTCCTCTTGGTGAGAGCCTGTCTTTTGAGTTCAGACAGCTATTTACAAACAGCCCTACCTACTGGATGGCAGATTCTAGAACTCCAGAGATAGTGCACATGAGGAAATAATTAGCCTCTAGAAGGCTACATGTTCAAGCCTATTAAAGAGAAAGCAAATACTATACTGTCTGACAATGAAAAATCTACGTTGGTCAGTATTGGCCACATCCCAGGGGATTTGGCCAAGAGGGACCAATGCATGAGAGCTACCAGCAGGCATAGTCTGGGTGGGAAGTAAACTCACAGTTTGTGAAACCTAATCAAAGATAAAATGAGTTGACTGGCCAAAAGAGGGTAGTCCTTACAGTAGCTTGCATGAGATATTGAGCCAACAGGAGTCAGAGGTAGGAGGCATATCTGGAGCCAAGAAAAACATATTGGCAATGTTAAAGAGATAGGATCTGAAGGGGACTGACAGGAAGATGTGATCCAAGGACAGGCAAAGATTTGAGAAACAAGCTGTCCAGACAGATCAACTTAAATGCAGAGTCCATATCTAACATCAATCAATCAAAACACTGAGTTTAAACACCAGCATATTCTCCTGCTCTGGTCTCGCATGCCAATCTTGCCATCCTATTGCTTTGAAGGGGCTGCAGCTATGGACAGCTCCCAGATCCCACTAGGGTTTCCCAAAATTAAAAGGGTTATAACTAAATGGCAGCAAGCAGGTAGGAGTTTCGAACTGTGCAAGGTACCCACCAGTTATAGGCCTGGAAACATTTTCACTTGAGGACTGGATTACTGAAAAACAACTCCAGGTGGCAAGCAAACTTTTTCATGTTTGAAAAGTAAGTAGAGAAATCAGTCCACTGTGGTAATTACTTGCTGCCTTGGAGGGCAGCTAAGAATTCAAAAAGAATTCTTCCCAGAATTCAGATGACTAGGGCAGTACATACTATGCTCTACTATTGGAGTTTGGGGTTCTATGGGGTGGAGCTTCTCTTTATTTGGCGTACTCTAAAAATAGTAGTGATAAGGTGTATATAACTTACAGTGAGGTAACCCTTTTCTGGCAACCTTGAAGAGATCCGTTTTCTATATGAAATTACAGCTGGGCACCCAAACCCAAGTTCTACCTTGGAAACTAGCTCTTGCCATGTACTTGGACAACTCTTGAACACTTCTTTCTATAAAATGAGGACACGGCTCCTTGCCTTTCCAAGAATATTTCTCTACATAGGTGAAATCAAGGCCAATATGAAGGTAAAATTAGAGAGTACAAGAGTATAGGAGAGATAATATCCTAAGGTTGAAGTTGGGCCAGAGAACTGGAATTGCAACTCATATGTCAATGGCCAAAAAAATTTCCATGCCAACTCAGACAAAATGCTGGTCCATTGATTCTATTATTTGGATAACTAGAGTCACCATACAGATGTGAAATGGGAGGATATGATTGTATTCTTTGGTAGGAGATGAAAAGGCAAAAGCTGTACTCCTGACATTTTACTTTTCTTTAGAAACACACTTATGCATCTCTCATTCTTGAATCTGAATTTGGGGAAGGCTCCTTCAATATTGAGACCATTGCCACCTCTCGTGGCAGTTGGTTCTCTAACTTGAACCCTTGCTCTATGAAGAACAATTTAATTTTGTCTTCAACTTACCTTTTCCAAGCTTCAAGGGGACCCTTGGGTTCCAGTATTATACTAGGATGAGCTGAATAATTCTGTGGAGCAAGAGTTGAGGCAGGGGCTATAGATATGATGCTCAGAGCTCCTTTCTAAGGCAGGTGGAGAGGCTTTATGGGAAAGGGTTGGAGCTTCACATGCCCTCTCCCTGAATGACAGCAGTCATCAGCACACTCTTCTCAGCTGCTGCTGTGACCCCAGGCTCTTGCCAAGCCCCAAGACAATTGTCCCCATTGCCCACCATCTGAGAATGAGAAACACAATGTGCTACAGGGGGCTGCATCACCTGATCGGCTCATCTCTGGGTCCTTTTCCCTTCCTCTTACCTTCACGGAGTAAGCCAAAGAGATGGTGACAGCAAGGGGAAGCCCTTCAGGCACAGCAACCACCAGCACAGTCACCCCGATAATGAAGAACTTCACAAAGTATTGCACATAGACAGGAGTACATTCAGGCAGCCAAGGCTTCTTGTTCACCACAAAAGTGTCCACGGTGAAGTAGAGCACCAGGATAATCACCGTAATGGCAGACATCACAAGACCTGGAACACAGGAGAAGACCAACTCAAGTAGATACCAGGGCCCAACCCAGGAATGAATCACAGACTCTCAGCATTCAAAATACAGTCAGATGCTATAGAGTCCAGCTCATACCTAAAAGGAATTGCCTCTATAATATCCCTGTCAAGTAGTCACAGAAACTTCAATTGGAGACCTTGAGAGATGGGGAACCCAAAATATCCAGAGAGAGTTAATTTCCTTTTTAGGTAGTTCCAGATGTTAAGAAGGTAATCCATACTTCAAGCAGAAACCTACCTCTCCTTACCTGGAATGTTCTTCCTTCACAAACCCTACCAATCCAGCAAGGCCCAGCTTTATCCTACTTCCAGGGCACCCATTCTCATTTATCATTCTTATTTCTAAACTCCTGTGGTATTTATGACCTGGGCCATGTAATCCCTTTTGTAGTTCTTCACAGCTTCATGTCACTTGCTATCCTTTCATATATGTATATCAGACTTACATTGTATCTCTAATTAGAATATACACTCCTTGAAGGCAGGAACCATGATTCCTTCTCTCTTTTCCCCAGTGTCTAGCATAGAGTTTTGGAGTTTTGCGCTTGTTTTTTTTTTTTTTGATGAATTGTTTGAAATAAGCAAGTCCTTTCCCTGGAAGATGACCAACTGAGGAGTCTTACATAAACATAGCAGGCTCATGTCACTCACTTTGATGACATGACTCTGTCACTGCCCACCTGGTGCATTCTTTCAGTGTTTCACCTAAGTCTCCTCCTTTGGGATCCATAGAATCATAGCCCTGTAAGATCAGAAGAGACCTTCAAGATTGTTTAGTCCACCCTTCTATAGAGACCCATAAACTGGAAACAATTTATCCAAGGTTACAAAACTAGTGGGTGGCTAAACTGGGATTAGAATTCAATCTTCCATTTCAGTCTCAGCTCTGTCACCAACTGATTATCATTCATCATGGTGTCTCTGTTCTCCTAGGTCCTTTGGAGGCCAAAATAAGGTCAGTTTTCCTGTGTGATTGATGAACTGGCTCCAAGGTAGCTCTCAAAGAGGAGCTCCAGAAACAGTTTTTATGAGAGTGATGTTACTGGGATGGAAGTCAATATCTACCTTATCTGATATGTCACTCACTCCTAAGGTGACATTCATTTGTAGCCAGCAGCTCTGATGTGATTTCTACATTATCAGCCTCATTACTTCCTATTCATTCATAATTTCTGCTGAATGTGTCCCTCAGTGACTTCTAAGTGTGTCTCTCCTATCCCCCTCTTTGAATTAGTCAGTTTCTCCTACAGCCTGCTTCTAGGGTTTCAGATAAGGCTCTGTCCAAACTGCGTACTGTTGGCTTCCTAAACAGGGTATTTTGAACCATGTTCTCATTGCAAGCCAATGCAATGGACATTTTTGAGTAGCAACTTTGTGCTGAGCTCAACTCAATAGAGAGGTGGTAATACTCAAAAGAATGGGCCAGACCTCTCAAATAAATGGGATAAAGTTTGTTCTATGTTGCTGCCTAAGAAATAATGAGTGGAAATCACATGTGAGCATTAGAGAGAATTTTCTGACATTCAGAGATGTCCAGCCATGGGATATACAACATCAGGATGGAATGTTTTCATTAATTAATATTTGGTAAGCGATTACTATGATTGTGGAAGTGTAGTGTAGTCGATAGACATTTAGCCTTGGACTCAGGAAGACCTGGCTTCAAGTCCTGCCTCTAAAAAAAAAATTAACTGAGTGACCTTGACCAAGTCCCATGACCTCTTAATGCCCCCAGGCAACTCTCTAAGATGATAAGTTACTGAATACATGCTGATTTGCATTGGTGAAGAGAGGTTTCCTCACTGGGAGTTTTCTATTCCAATGAAATTACATTTCCACTAAAAAAGTGAATAAGTCTGTGCTTCTCATTGGTGTTGTTTCAGAAGAGTCAGAGTAACATCACCTCATAGAATGTCAGAGGTCAAAGGAATCTTATAAATGTCAAAGATTCCAGTGGCCAACCCTCTCATTTTACCAAAGAGAAGAGAACTGAGGAAGAATGGAAACAATTTGTTCAAGGTTACATATAGAAGGAACACTAAAGCTAGGAATCAGAACCGAGTTTTTTTTAATTCAAGTCTCTCCATCACATGACTTCTGGATTTCTGAATGGGGAGGTAGGTTGGACTAGATATCCTGTGAGCTTCCTTCTCACCCAAAGTTTATGTCTCTCTAGTCTGTACAAGGCACTTGGAAAAAAATAAGAATAAGAATATGCACTCATCTATGGCTTTAGAGTTCGCAGTGATAGCTAGAGAGAGAGAGATAGATAGACAGACAGACAGACAGACAGACAGACAGACAGACAGATAGATAGATAGATAGATAGATAGATAGATAGATGATAGATAGATAGATAGATAGATATTTGGCAAGAGATTGTAGAAGAGCTACAAGTCACTTCTCCTAGGGATGGACAAGTGGGATGGAAAGATGATACATGAAATGCTGAACTGACAATGTTACCAGTGGTCAGTCTCTAGGTGGTTAGAGGAAGATGAAGTTACCATAGGCTCTTATGATCAGGGAATGATTTTTGGAGGAGGCGAAGCTTGAAGCATAGGTTGGATTTAGATAATGAGAGAAGGTATCCTTAGTAAGGAGAGAGGCAGAAATTCCCAAAGGCTTGTATGGGTAAAAGTTAGGCAAGTCTAGCTATACTGAAGACCTACATAGGCCCTCAGAAGGAAACAATTATGACATTAAACCTAAGGGAAATAAATTGAAATGCTAGCTGGAACATTTCCTAGTTATGTGATTCTGGGCATGTCATGTAACCTCTCTGAGCCTCAACTTCCTCATGTGTGAAATGGGAATATATGATTATATGAATATATGAAGAGCCAACAAGCCCCTTCTGGCAGGGTTGGGAGGGAAATGCTCAGTAAATTTAAAAAGACTAAGGAAATTGGGCTGGAATGGCAGGCTGGAGTAAGGCTATGGGAGGGCCTTGAAGACTAAGTGCACATGAGCCTGATGCATTTGCACTCCTTTGTGGCTGCTGAGCAGTCAGCACTTGACAAGTGAGTCCTGGTCCACCAAGCAATAGTGATGCATCCCAGGTGCCAGGAAGGCCCTATGCCTGTGTTCTGCATGCAGCTGCATGGCCCCCTGCTGCCCTGCCTTAAAAGCCACGTGTTCCAGGCCCTGCCTTACATGTTCAGAGCCTGGAAACTGAGCTCAGGATTGTTACAATGCTCCTCATTTAAATATAGTCAGCAAAGCCTATAATTTGCTACTGTTCTTCAAACCATGGCTGCTATAATTAGAGCTGGGGGAACAACACCTGCCTAAGAGGGGAGAAGCAAGGAGTTTGTGCTTAGCCTTCACTGCAACTAATGTCCTTACAGAGCCAGGCAGAGCAGGGAAAGCCCTGGGAGCTAATGTGAGAAACTGACCTGAGCTGATACAGCACTCTGTTCCTGGAACACAAAGCTGTGTTTTCACAAAAGACCTTCAGGAGACATAGCCACCTCACCCTACCATTCTTGTTTCCTTATCTATTAGTTGATATCTGATTTTCCTCATCTGTATGATGGGGATAATACTACTTTGGGAAGGCATTATGGTACAATTTGAAATACTCTGAGGACTTGGAATCAAATCCCAGTTTGGCCTCTTACTACTTATGTGACCTTGGGGGAAATTGCTTCACCTCTCTGGGACACAGTTCTTCATCTTTGAGGTAAGAAATTTGGACTACATGATTTCTAAGGTCCTTTCCCAGTCTAGAGCTATAATTAAAGACCTCCCTCAGAGAGTTCTTGTGAGGATAGCACTTAGCTAAGATTAGTACCCCTATTTGCCACTTAAAATGCTTGGCTTGCTGTTGCTGTGTGCTCAGAGCCTAACACAGTTTTTTATACAAAAATGTATCAATAAATATCTTTGAATGAATGTTGAATAAAACCTGATTTAGTGATAGCTGGCATCTAAGTGCAGTAGACAGCCAGGAAGATGCAGAGTGAAATAGGACTTTAAAATATAGCACACCTGCAATATGGTCTAGACTCCCAGTAACATCCTCACAGTTGGAGCTCTCCAGGGTGCTGATACTAATGTCTAGCCCTGCCAGTTAATCCCAAATAGGCAAACTCTTTTCATCTCCTTTGTATTCTACTTCCCTGAGAGTTCCAGTCCTTACAACCAACAAGATCATTATTATACAGGGGGTTCCAAAGCTTTAATAGCTTAAAACTATATAAGACTTCTAGAATACCCTGTATATGAGTTATCACTCCTTTCTTCATAATGGCAAAATCATATCCAATATACAATAAACTGGTCTATATTACAAAGTAAGCTCCATAATCTGATAGATGGCCCAAAGTAACACTATTCTGGTGATCTGGCAGTGGAGTGGGGTGGAAATAACCCTAGATATTGACTCAAAGGATCTGAGTTTTAATCCCATCTCTATTGCTTTCTGCTTTAGTGTGACTCCAAGTCTTTTTTCCTCTTTTGAGTATAAATGCACTGTCCTGAACTGTAAAGTAAAGAGGCTGGACTCTATGATGCTTTTTTCACTCAAATTCCAATGGGTATAACATATTTCCCTTGTTTGTGAACCCCCAAAAATGGGTATGTTCTCCAATCCTTGAACATATCTCTAGAAGGAAGCTAACTGAGGGTCATTTACATTGCACATAGAAATAGGATCATTAACGTTTTGGGGTTCTCTCATCATAAAAATTATAGTGAAACTTGCCAACACAATAGGAAAAGTATCTATGTCTTGAAAAAGAACAAAGGTGGAAGTCAGCAGATATGTCTTTTAGTCATTCATTTGTATAAAGCAAATATTCCCTGAGAGTCATCTTTACGGAAGAGACACTGTGCAGGGCATTAGGGGAGACAAAAAGGGATAAGCCTAGTGTCTGCCCTCAAGGTGCTTACTGCCTAGTAGGGAAGATTATGATAAATTTACATATGCACAAATAATTACATTTTCTTCCTACTAAGCTGAGAACACCTTTATTTGTTGTGTCTTATAATCCATCATGGAGAGTTGAGTCATAAGAGCTATTTGATATTTAGCTCCCAGAAACCAGAAATGTGATCTCTGGCAAGGTAATAATTTGTTATAATTATAACAAAATTAGATTATAATAAAATAATTGGGATTCAAACTAAATAATTATTTATTAAGCTCCTATTGTGTGCAAGGCACCGGATATACAAATATAAATACGGGATTCTTTGCCCCCAAGGTGTTCCCATTCTTCTGGATATCCAATAAGAGTTATTTACAATAAAACATGATCAAGAGTGGGCATTTTTGTCCCCATTTTTTCATCTCTTCTGCCCTCTTTAGGTTTCTCTCCAGGTTTGATTGGCTTTTTTTTTTTCCTTCCTTTGTATCTTTAGAGCCTAGCTCAGTGCCTTACACATAGAAGGTGTTTGATAAATGCTTCCTGACTGACTATTCATTCCACTCTCCTTTATACCATAGTTCTGTATATAAGTGTTTCTCTTTCACTGTTAGATTTCAAAATTCATAAGAATGGAGCCTGTGTTGTAGCTGCCATTATACTGCATCCTGCCCAGTGCTATGCACTTAGGAAGCATTTAATATGAATTGAATTGAACTAAAGCCAACATTTGTTTGGTCAGATGTGAAGCATGCTGCTCTCTTCTCAGCTGGAACACTCACCTGCCTTGCCTATCTGCACAGCCAGCTTGGTGAGCTTCCCCTGCAGGACTGATTTCTCCTTCTTGTGCATGTTGGCCTTCTTCTTGTCATCTCCATCTCCCCCTTCGGCACTCTTCAGAGGCTGCATCTCCATGGCTGCTGCCCCATCCTGCTGTTTGGCTAGCAAAGTAGAACACACACCATCAACTTGAAGTCCACTTCAAGAACCCTACTCTGTTTCATAGCTGTGATGTCAAGGAACTGCCCCCACCCTAATAGGAATGAGCCTGAGGCTACCCACAGGGACTAATGCCAGGAGGCAGGATAAGGAGTCCCCCAGGGGAAGCAGTATAGATCTAATAGTTGGGGTAGAAGACTGTGGTCTTCAGGCAGTGGAGGGTGAGGCCTTCTCAAGGAATATGTGATTGACACCCCAGGCAGAGCAAGGGATACCACCATGCTTGGCCAATACTGTTCTAGGGAAACTTGGAGGAACTAGGAATACAAATGAGGTTTTCTAGTGGGAAGAGTCCCTGTTCCTCATTCCTCCCCATCCCTATCCTGCTCAGAAACTCCATCACATAGGTTGTGGTCATTGATACCATCCTACATGATTGGAACTTGATCTCAGCCATGTAACTCAGGGCAGAAGAGTTCATTAATAAAGACAAGATTATTTGTCCATAAAGTGTTCAAGGCCATGATCTCCTAAAGCTCCAGGAGCTCTAGCATAGATCCTTAAGGAGATGTTTGGTATTCAGAGGGCCCAAAGGAGAGATCAATTCTAAAACCTAGGTCTACTTTCTTAGCCCAAGGAACTTGGGAAGCAGCAAGGGCATAAGTATCCACCCCGCTTAATTCCTTACAATCACTGTCTCCACTGAAATGGACACATCACTGGCCTAGGGACATAACACATTGACTTCTATGCAAAATGGCTTGTTTCATGAATCAGATATCAAAAACCATGTCTCTACATCCCATCCAGAGCAAATTCCTATGCTTTTCTCATTCAGAAATGAGAATGAAGACTTACTCAACCTGTGCCCCCAAAACAGTGCTATAGCCGAGGCTGAGCATTCATGTCTGCTCTTAGGACATCAGGTGATGGCCATCAGGGATGAGAGAAATTAAGGAAAGATTGCTTTTCCTTAAGTCCCATTCTCGGGCTTCCTGCCATCCTGTTTGTTCAGCCCCTAAAGTCAATCTCAATCACATTCTCAACCAGGAAGACCTGCTTGATGCTCTGACATTATGTCTGTCTCTGGACCACACTGGGCCATGAACAGGTGCCATAAGCTTGCAGAACACCAACCAGAGCCCCTAGTCAAACTAAGTAAAGAATGGAGGCTTGGTAAAACTTAATGCCTGGATTTCCATGTGGCTCAGATTTGGATCGGCAGTATTTGTTCAAGTTAAGTCTGAGTAACAACTCTACCCACTAAAAATGCTACACATCCTTGGACAGGTATGTGTGCGTCTGGCAGATTGGCCTTCACTATGAAGCCAATCTCTTTCTACTCTGCTTTGAAGTTCATATTCTCAGGAAGGGGGCTTGGGCCATAAATCACATACCACAACCTGGTTAAAATGGAAGGGTTACCTTTGCTCTGGCTGGTGTCCATATTGCCATCCTGCATTTTACCTACATGATAAAGAATTTTAACAAACAACAAAGAACAGACAATATACAGTCATCACACAGACAGAACACCGTGATGGACATTTAAATCAAAGAATGGGTAATGAACTGGCTTCAGGGACATCTCTTGGTTTAGGACTTGTGAGAGTACCCATCTAGCTACGTCCCACACAGAAAAAAAAGGAGATTATTGTATATCCCTTTGGAATTGTTCAACATCTTCCCATTCAGATGGGATCTACACATGTCCTTCTTTGGGAGGTGATGACTATAGTCTAGGGAATAAGACCCTCAAATGAAGCATTTCTTTATCTCAAATATGGCATACAGATGCCTTTAAATATCCCCATGGTAACTAGGAAGTTTTACCAAGTTTATATACTTAAGATTAGTATGCCATCTATTGCCAAAAGGACTTGAGGTGGCTTACAGATGAAAACACAGAGCAAGATAAGACAAAGAGAAAACAGATCATGGCTCATATGAAGAAAGAAGAAGGAATAGATATTTTCAGGCATCTGAACTGAGTGGCTTATAACACCTGGACAATAAAAATAGTTTTCCTGGCAAATAAGGCAAAAACTGAAATAGATTATAGAGTTTTCCTCTTTCTGATAAAAAAAAAAAGCAGGTACATTTCATTTTCAAAAATTTTTTGTCATTGTGGTTATTGATTTATTTTGGATTTTTACCCCTAAACTGGGACAAGTTATGGTTTGGAGAAACATAATTTATAGCAAATTCAAAGCATGGTACTTTGTGCAGCTTCCTATTGAACAGTAAGAGTGATATTGGTTTGAGATTTCCCCCTTCCTTCCTGGTTCCTTCAATCCCCCTTGTAGAGAAACCTGCGCAGTGAAACAACCGGAGGATAAGAAACTGAATAGAGAATTAAAATACAGACATGGACATATATATACACAAATGGATATAAATGTGTGTATATAATACACACACATATATGTATATATGCAATGCACCAGGATACTCCACACATGGCCAATGAGCCAAAGGCTAATCGAAAGTTGCCTGTATACACGGCCTTCTCTATCTGCCACAAGGCATGACTTTGCTGACAAATAGCTATGATGATGTTTTGTGGGTTTACCTTGTCACCAAGTGAACAGCTGTCCAGAAAATGTCAGCACTAAAGAGGCCATGAGCAATTGCTGCCTGTATTGCTTCTACTTTTTAATCCATCAAGTTTGGTGGGCCAGAGCAGAGGACCTATTGCCACGGCTGGCTCATTTGTCACAATGGGTTCTCAGTGACTCTAAACTATAAAGTGCTTGTCACCTTCTGAATCTTGAAAGGGAGGTGACAGCACTGTCTGATGTGTCCTCAAGCAGGCACTTTGTAGTTCTTACTGGATGCAGCATGACCACCAAAGAAGATACCACATTAGGTAATCAAGATGGGATCAATTTGCCATGAGGGCCAGGGCAAGAGAGAAGCACTGGGCAAAGGAATGTGGGTAATATGATTGAAATGTCCAGGTTACTGGACAGCATTACATTGGGTGGCGAAGACTGGGGTCACACAGACAATACATTTAAAGTCGAGGTGTATCTAGACAAACAAACCAAGGCCCTATATCAAAATTGATAAAAAGAACACATCGTCCCCAGTTTGCTGATCCACCAATATCAATGAAAGCTCATGAGACAAACTCTCCTAGTTGTCAGTGACATGAGAAGCATAATGGTGGGAGAGAAGAGGGTGTGAGACTGGGTCATCAGGCTGGGACAGTCATTTCATTAGGATATGGTCACGGAAATGAAAACTGGCATAGCCTAGAAGGGATGGTTTATGGCTCTAGAGAGGGGGATCAACCTCAGTTAACTACTTAAGGAGCTACAAGACAAAGAGATTCCTTTTTAACTTCAACTAAGTCACTTACACTAGATTATTCTAGTCAATCACATGTTAAGTCTCTAACACCTCGCGTTTGTATCATTGCATTAGCACATATCTTCTAAAGAAATTCCCTGCATATTATTTCCTAGAGAAGAAGAGACTTTTGAGAGACAATCTTGTCCTACCTTCTCATTTGACAGAGGATGCTGGAACCCAGAGAGGCAAAGATACTTGCCCTGAGTGACACAACTACTAAGTTTCAGGTCTGGGACTTGAACTTAGTGCTGTAACTTCAAATTCATCCTTTTTCCCCACTGTGCAACACAGCTTTCTCTAGTCAAAAAGTGATATAAACTTAAAAGTTGAAATGATAGAAGTAAAGGGATTGCTTTGCCATTTAATGTTTTAACTTTAATTTATTTCAATGTTTGTGCTTTTGAATCCATGACAGTTCACAAAAATCTGCCAGAAGGGAAATTTCTTAATTATCCAGGTATTAGGAGGACACTCCGTGGCTGTCTCTATTGTCATTCTTCAAAGACAAAAATTAGGAAAAGAACTTTTCTCTTCAGTGGCTGGTGTCTGGGCCTACCCAAATAGTACTAGGACATGTGTCCAGAAAGGGTATCTGGCTGACATCTCCTTGCTCATCATTCCCTTGCCTTTTCCACCCAGTCCCTGTGGCTTTCCTCAAATCATTTCTTCTCTCAAATCCTCAGTTATTACCTTCATAAATTGAGGGTATTGGATTAGATGAGCTCTTAACATTCTTTCCAGTTTTAAATCTATGATACAACACTGCTATACTTCCTTTACTAAATAATCAGAATACAGGTTTGTTCAGTGGTTTCTCAAGTGCTCCAGGGTCCTTTGGAAAGGATCAATTCCCAAAGGAGTTCCATTTCCCAAAAGACTCACGGGAGAGGGGAATGAAAAGGAACAAGAAAAGAAGTAGTTTCGTTATCCCAGAAGACCACGACACCAGATTACTTCAGGAATGGCACAGAGTTTGACATTTGAATGCCAAGAAATATACCTTCCTGGGCTTTGCTTAATCCTTGATATTTCAGAGATATTTCTATGCCACTGAGATGAGAGGGGAGAGAGGATCGGGGACAAGTTACTGAGAACTGTTTTCCAGTCTGTCTTTAAGGGAAGCAGTTCTACTGAAATGGGCCAAATAAAAAGTAAGAAATTCAAGATACACTGGATATGTCACCAGAACAGGATTAGAAGACATGAATTCTGGGCCTTGACACTAATTGTGTGGTGAGACTTTGGGTAAATCAAGTGAACCCTGGGCCTCAGTTTTACCATCTATAAAACCCAAAATGATATTATCTGCCTAACTTCCAGGGAGAGAGGTAGCATAGTATGAGGTAGAGAGGGCATGTTTAGGAGTTATTGTGAAAAGGCTTTTTTTTGTGGAAAAAGGCCCATGATGTTATACTAATTCTGTGACTCTGGGCAGGTCACTTAACCAGGCAACTCTCAAATGCCAGTCTACATAACTATATAAGTTATGACACAGTCTGCACACCAGAAGTCTCCTGTATGGTTGAAAACACAGTTCTGGTCCCAAAGCAAAACAAAATACTTGCAAGATGATAAATAAATTTTATCAAATATTTTACAATTCTCAGAGATTATTGTTTATTCCCCAGGTGACATTTGGGAATTCCTTTTTTAAATGGTCAAATCTACAGAGTCAGTAAAGAGCCACAGTTTGACTCTGGGATGTCATATGCAAGGAACCTTCCCCAACTGGTGTATGGTTTGAAACCTCTAAGGATGATGAAAGACAAAGAAAGCCCCTGATGGACTTCATCCTCTGTCATGTTCTCATCTGTCATAGAGTACTCTCCTCCTCTTTCCTCTTCCCTCAAGAAAGCCCCAGTCTCTTGTCAAAGAGTTAGGAGTATAAGTACGCACAGAGAAAGAATTTGCTTTGCTTCCTTTGAAAACTCCTTCCTCTAGAAGCTGCCATCCTTCTAGTATAAATAATTCCACGGGTGAATTTAAATAATCAGGCTTTAAAAAAATTAAACTTGCCTAGGAAGAATAGACTTCAGTGAACGATTTTAGGAGGTACAAAGGGCTTTTGGTGGCACTGCATAGTTTCTGATTAAATAACTCAGTGTGCTCATTAAGAACAATTCATTAATTTCATTGTCTATTTCCAGTGCTACCCACATGGTCATGAAAATACCAGTAACCGTATTCTTTTAGGAAGATAAGAGATAAGAGGCTAGGAGAAGTATGTGTGGACAGACAAACACTGCTAAACATTTGTTGTTTTAGGGGTGGAAACAGGAGCTTGGGGAAACTTTCATTAAAATGATGCATTTTCCAAAAAACCTAGAGCTTATTATTCACACTTCTCTTTAGTTCCATTTAGCCAAAATGACCACTTGCCCAGACACTGCTAGGTTCTATAAGAAGGAGGACCCTGCATCTGGTCTGGGATGGAAGAAGAGCTCTGTTTTTGATCCATCAGGACTGTCAATGAAGCTATGTGCAGGGAGCTGGGCCTGGTGAGAGACAAACGTCACATGCAAGGGGACAGAAGGCTGGGAGCCTCCATTTGTCCCTGGGATAGGTTTTGCCCCTTGCCCACTCCAGAGGCGGCTCAAACAAGTTCAAGAAGAAAACTTTTAAAATTAGAAAACCAAGGTTATGGTAGCCTAGGAAGTTGCATGAGGGTTGAAAAGCTAAGCTTTGAAGCAAAGGAAACTAGATGCTCTCTTGCTGGAAGCTGGACAGCTCCAGGCAAGAGATTCTTAGGAGAGGTGAGTCACCTTTCTCCACTGTCTAAATTCATTCCCATCATGCTTAGCTTGGTACTAAAATGGACTTTGCAGGCTACTCAGGTTAGATAGCCTAATCCCACTGTGTGCATCAAGGTCATATTATTATCTCCAACTCTAACAGGAAATTCATCATCTGTGTGTTTTGGGGAAGTGGGGGGGGGGGGGCGGGCAGAGGTTTCCAATAGAATCTTCAGTGGATTTACATTAGAATCTGTACGTCTAACACTCACCTTTTGCACAATTGAATTAGACCCTGAAGTCTCAGCACTTTTATCCTGAATATTTTCTACCACAAATGGACTGCACTCCTTCCTCAAATCTACTATGCTACCCAAAGCCAAAGGTCAAGAAGCCCAGGGCCTTACTCTCAGTTCCTCTAATATAAATGTGTGGTCTTGGGCGTTTAAAAAGAGAATAGTGGAATTGATCCATAACAATGGCAGGCTAGAGGTAGAATGAGGCCAAAGGGGTGGGGGGCCTGACATTGCTCCTAGCATCTCTGGAGGCCAGATCCTCAGATCCCAATAGCCATCCACTGAGCATTACACCACCGACTTCTCCTCAGTCCAAAACTACCCATCCTAGACTGGTTCCCAAGCTACAGCTCATGCCCCAAGCATCTGGGTCTCCACCCTGGCTGCATTGCCCTCCATACACATTCCCTTGAGAAGGAATTTCATGCTATTTTGCTGAGCCATAATGTGGTAAGAGGCACTGTACTCCCTGGGAGGAGAACCAAGGAGAGAGTTTCCTTTTCTATGAGCTTTGATCTTGAGCAGAGATTGAGTTAGAGCTTGTAAATTGCCCCCATGAGAATGAGCTTCCTGTAAAGCTTTTACTCCCTGATGCTCTGTGTTTCTCAAGCTTTTTATCAACTTCAAGAGCTTCCTTCCATGCTTTTACCACACTCACCACCCCCATAGCCCCAAATTCAAGGTGAGTTTACTCTAACTGAAGTCTTACTGAGCAGTTGCCCACTCCCAGCCAGGGAACCAGACTTCACAGCTTACTGCAGTCACAAAGGAGATAAGCTCAGATCAACTCCCAAAATAGCATTGTAAACACAACCCAGAAGGCCTTCCTTTCCCTCTTGTCTCCAGGGGCCATGTATCTTTAAGGAGCTACTGAGCTGCCCTTCAGTATCAGAGGGATTCTCACTTTCTCTTCCTGGAAGTGGGCATATCCAAGGGTAATTCTGCCACTAAATGCAGCTTCCACTGTCAGAGAGTACATCACAGACCCCAATCCTCAATTTTCCTCCATCTCATTTAAGAAGGAAGGTGTTAAAGCCAAAAGCAAACCTAAATTGTTGCCTCCTCTTGCCTTCCTCTGGCTGACACCCTTTCAGGGAGCCATCCTTAAGAAGGGGTCCCCTCCTCAGAGGGATGGGAGGGCAGAACTAAGAACTTCTCAACCTACATCTTCATTCCTTTACAAAGCCATGAGTGGAGGGTGGTGGGGCTGGTTACAGCTCTTTTCTGACATGGATTGTCATCCCTCTCTTCCATGGAAATTCAGTTAAACTTTCTGGAGTAAATAGTATCTTCCTTGAAGCAGACTGAGCTGTTAACTTCTTCCCCCAGAGCCTTCCACTATGTCCTTCCTGCTGAAACCCACAGCAGAGCCAGCTGAATCAGTCAAAGCAACCCATCCCCACTTTCTTCTATGTGATGTAACGCTGAGGTAGGAAGCTAATTAACAGCTGGCCTCTCTCAAGGATTTTGCATCGAGTGAATACTGGGCAGCTGGCCAAAATTCCTGTGCTGAGGACCCAGAGGTTCATGCAGGGTTCTCTCCACCTGACCTTGCAATAGCCTGTATAGATTCAGCAAACACTTTCAAAGGTGTCACAGGCATATACGTATTTCACAGCCAGATGTGGCTGGAATGTTGCAGGTGATTCCCCTAGGGCAAACATGGTCTGACTGGACTCAAAACAATGAATACATAATAAGAGAGCTGAAGGAACACTGTTTCTCAGCACCTTTTTCTTCCCCACAAAACCTACACCTTGAGGCAGGTAGCTGAATGGAAACAGGATGGATTTTGTTTAAGAAAATGGTCATGCATTGGGACGTACCTGGGAGAATCTCTGCTTTATCCTGCTCAGTACTAGGGTAACCCTCCTTAAACTCTGCTTTGCTTAACAGTCTAATAGGTGCACAGCTTCCATGAATCATCTCCCTCAGCCCCATTTCCAATACCATCATTTGGCCAGTCCACAAAAAGGATCATGATGACTGTGGTCACCTCCAACCAGCAACAAAGCTCCCCTTCTTCATTCATGGTGTTCACTGAAGCTCCTGAGGCCTAGCCACCAAGGCCAAGGTCAATACCACCCATACCCAGCAAGATTTCCACCCAGTCTCCCCCTCCCTTACTCAAAATGTGCTCTAAAAGAATGCAGAGTTTCAGGAAACATACCGCACAGCACAGCCAACAGCAGATAATGCTAGTCCAGAATCATTGAGGAAAACAAAACAAAAAAAAAAAAAAGAAAGAGCTACTTCAGGGCCTAAACTAAGTGTCTACCCATTCATGATTTGAAAGACTGTGAAGAAAGGTACTGGCTAAAGTATCAGCATGCCACAGGATGGGGTCACGAAACTGTAGGTGAGACAATATCAAAATTCATTGAGATTGTATTTTGGAGTGAAGGACCAGAGCCCTTGATGCTTAACCCTGAGGCCAAGCCAGAAGCATGGGCAAATAGATGAACAAAGGCATCTCTCCCTCACAGACCATGCTCATGGGTGCTGGCGCTCAGAAGCGAGAGTGACCCATGGTGTGCTCATGCTGCTTCAGAACCAGATTCCTGACCCCGGGCCACTTATTCCCCAAAGCTATGGTGAGACTAAGTAGGCTTATGAGAGTGTCACGCTGGGAAAAAGGAGCATATGTTGGGGGGAGCAGTTGGCAAGGGCTTGGTGACAAGATTTTTTTCACCAAATACTCGTCAATTTCACCACCCCCTTCACCCTACCCCCACTCCATTCCAAAGCCACAGCCTCCCCAAAGTGGCACTGAGGGCCAGTTTGAAGAGATGGGCATCCTTTTAAAAGCGGGTGGTTCTTGGGACAGGTTGAGCTCTTGCTGCATGTGACTTCACCCCGAGGGTTGATAGTAGCGTGGCCCCTCTTATAAGCTACTGTCAGAGTGTAGGGAAGAGGCACTACCCCAAGATAACACATGCACATACGCCATGTGTGCTGTTGAGAAGAGTAGGCGAGCCAAGAGAAAGAAAGAGAAAGGAGAGAGAGAGAGAGAGAGAATTGGAAGAGAAGTCCACCAAAGAAAAACCAAAAGCTCAGTATTCTTGACGTACCATTGACTAAGCTGGAATTTGCATTATCGGTGGTATTTGCACCTGCTGCACCATCTGTAGCTGCAGGAGGGTGGGAGGGGTAGGAAGAATCTACTGAGTAATAATGGATAAAAAGAATAGTATGTAGTAATAATAATAATAATAATAATAATAACATGAACAAATTCACATGACAAAATAGCAACATTTATGGAATTAACATGGCTTTGTTCTCTTGGGGAAAAAAAAAGACTTGGTTGAAAATTAAGTAACATAATGTTAGAAAAATGAGATGCCATCACAAAAATGTCATAAAAGCCAGGGGGACAACTCATATATGGAATATCTTAAAAATAAATATGGAAAGGTATTCAGTGAAGGCTGGAGAGGACAAACATTGTACAGCACTGGGTCCCACTCTGCTACAGATGCTTGGGATTGCTTTGGTTGGAGTGAAGCTCTAATTGGTCACCCAGAGATGGAACATCCTTTTCCCAACTACACAGCTTGGCTGAGTTGTGTGAATGTTAGCCTTCTTGATATAGGGCTACATTAGAAACAATTCCATCCACCCTTAGGAGACATGCTCCTGGGTCTCTTGGTGGGGTACACACTCCCAGAGTGACCAGATAGTTGAGAGTAGCTTAACTGTGACCTAGAGCTTCTCAATTCAGTCCCAGCTAACACCTTATCAGGATAGGCCATTGTCACAAGGAAGGCAGCCCACTCCTGGAATTTCTGACTAGGGCCCAATAAAGGGAGCTTCAGACACCCAGGAAGCCAATGATCCCAAGGTTAATGATTAAGCTACAAGGTGGTAAGTTGCATTTCACTAAATGAAATGAAATGAAATAAAATATAGGAGACATGCCTTCAATATATTTATTGGCTCTGGTCATTTCATTTTAATTCTCGAAAACCAACAAGAATTCCAAATTTACACCTTATTTCCGTTCCTCAAGCAGGCAAAATTAATCACAAGGGGAACGTTCATGTTCCATAAGTTAGGGTGATATGGTGTATGGTTTTGTATAGTGGTGTGTCCTACTATATAGCAGTATGTCCTACTCTGTAGTGAAATACAGGTTGTGTCACACTGTATGGCGGTATTGTGATATTACAGTATATAGTGGTGTATCATGCTTTATGGTAGCATATTACACTGTGTGGTGTTGTATGGTTTATCACACTGTATGTTGGTATATATGCACTCACGTACTGTTACAACATGCAATATTATGATATGAACTGAGACTGTCACATGGCATGGTCATGTATTTAGGTTACTGGGTCAGGATGTTATACTGTGTGGTGGTATATGTAGCATGATCAGCTATGTAGCACTGAGTGATGTTGTCAGGTGTTGGGTAGTGGTTTGTAGCGTGGAGTGGTTATATGTGGGTCCTGTATGCATGACTCTGAGTCCCCTGGGGCATGGTGCTACTATTAAAAATGTCAACTACTCTGAGGCATTTCTTACTGTACCTGGAAGCTGAAGGCCATCCACTTTGGTCACACCTGTGTGATGATTTTTAAAACATATTAATGATGGAGAAATATGTCAGCTTTCTCTCTCTCTCTCTCTCTCTCTCTCTCTCTCTCTCTCTCTCTCTCCACCCACACACTCTGTCTCTAACATATATACACATATATACTTTCTCTTTCTAACATACACAAACACACACATGTACACATGCTCACACACCTGGGTCAAACTGAAATGTAAAATGGTAAGTGGGCATCATTTATGACAGGCTTATGAAGAAAGGGGCATGCTGGACCTGATCATAGTGGCAGTGTGGGAAGGAGGGAGCTCTACTTCCCTACAATGCCTGCCCCAGGGAATTCTTCTGCACTTCTGTGAGTCCCAGCCCTGCCCCTAGCATATCTTCTCTCTCATGACTCAGGACCGAGCTGACTAGGCTCAAGAATGGAAAAAGGACCCATTCCTATCAGATCCTAGAACCTCACCAAAATGCTCTCCTTCAGGGGGTATATGACTTGAAGTCCATGCCTTAGAACTATAGGAAAGATCACCATATGTTTTGGATATTTCCAGTAATAAACTTCTTGGGACAGGGTAGGAACATAGGGTCCTAGATTCAGAGACAGAAAGTACCCAAGAGTTCATATAATCCAGCCCCCTCACTTTAGAGAGGAAATTGAAGTCCAGAGAGAAGTAACTCACTCAAGCTTCAAAGTCAATGTTCTTCATTCAAAAGCCCTCATTATAAAACGAGGTTCTGTAATGTTCCCTTTAGGGACACCACTGGCTTGTCCTAGCTTCCTCAGCATATGGATTGTGTATGTAGTCACTATATCTCCTCCTTCAGGCAGACTGCCATTCATGTACTTGTCTCTGAAATATCTATCCCTGCTGGTTAGATGAAGCTGGGCTGCCTCTTGGGTTTCATCAATAGCCATTGGCCACAGAGAACTACCACTCCCTGGGTAGACTAAGAAGCGAGGATGGGTGGGAGATGGCAGGCTGCCTGTGATCAAGCACCTCTTTCTGGGGGGAGCTGTAAAACAAGATCTTACTGAAACATCTCTGTCAGCCTTCAGACTGTAATCTTACAAAACCCCAATGGGAGAGTTTTACTAAGCTTTGTGAGTAAAGAAAGCAATTGGGAATAATGCTCAAAAACTGTTTTTCTAACAAAGGTCAGGAAGTATGAGAGCATCCTAAAAGGGAAAACAGCTGGGAGAAAGTTTATTAATTCTAAATAGTCTGGAATTTCACCTGTCAGCAGCCTAAGAGATTGGGTGTCTGAAGATACTCAGAGAGGTCTTAGAGAACAACAAAAGTGGCCCTCCTATGCTGGCCACCACTTTTTCTTGTCACAGAGGGAACTTACCAGCTCAGCCACCATTTTGTATTTTCTTTTGAAGGCAGGAAAGACTCAAATTTAAATCTCCCTCACAACACGGAAGCCTGTGGTCCTAAGAAGAGCCAGTAAGGGCTCTCCCCTCACTCACTCAGGCCTTGACTCATTGTTTCTTTCCCATGTTCTGGAGTACTCACAGCCAATCGAGATCACCACTACAACAAACAGATCCAGGCTGCATCTGTACTAGTACCACCAAGAGGGAGGATGAACAACTTTTTGAGGGCTTTCTAAGACTGGCAGTGACCTTGTTGTATCATTTTTAGCTCTTCACATCACCTACTCATACTCCTAATTCCTTCTCTGTTTCAATTCTCTTGTATGATGGTTGAACTCTCCCCTTCATAGTAACTGATACTGACTCAGCCTAGGAGAATGACCATTGTCATGCAGAGTCATCATCATCTGAGAAGTCACAAGATCGAGTTGTGTCCTCTGATTAGTTAGGGGAAAGTTTAGCCTTCCTCTTTAATCTGGGTGGAGAGGGAGTGGTTAAGGATTGCTATATGTAAAGCATACAAGCTCAAATGGAAACCAGGATGAATTTAGGTAACTCTGTAGTCCCACTCAATACAAAAAGCATAGATAGAATGATGGGTCAGTCCAGAGCATGGTATCTATCAGCAGCCCCACCTGGCACAGACAAGAACAAAAAAAATCACTTGGGTGGGCTGAATGATGTGACATAACATGACAAGACAAAAAAACTATTACCAAAAAAAAAAAAGAGTCCATTGCCTAAGGGCAGAACACGACACAGCTGGTCTAAGTGCTGAAGGCATTTGCCTGCACCTGAGAGTGAATGATACTGTGCAAAGTACTTCCTTGGCTGCCCCCAGCCAAATTCCTAAAAGAATGGCACACACTGGACTTAGGAACAACTAGTGACAGGGGAGGGGAGTTACCTTTCTTGTCTTTCTTTTCTTCTTCTTCACCACCAGCCCCCAGCAAGGTAAAGATGATGCCAGTCTGAGAGTTCACTCCCACAGCGGTGACCAGCATCCTGCCAGAGCCCTCCATCACATGTGTACCTGATGGGAAGGTAAAGGAGAGCCAGGTTAGCATTGTACCCACCCTGCCTAGCCCAGCCTCTGACCTCACCCCAAGTGAACATGATGCAGCTATTGCAGACTTTCAAGCCTTCTCTCAAAGATCCTGCTGTTCATTGCTAGCTGTGAGTGTTCCATAAGAATCAAAACTGCCATTGGTGTTAATGCCACTAATGATCATAAAGCACTTTACAGGTACTAACTCATTTGTTCTTTCTACCAGTTGAATAACAATTCAATTCAATATAATAAGCCTTTACTAAGCATCTACTCTGTGTCACTGTCCAAGGCCTTGGAGATCACAAGGACAAAAATGAAAAGTCCTTACTCTCCAGGAACTTATATTCTACTGGGAGGTAGGTATCATATGTGTTATAGTTGGTTAGCCTTTTTACAGACAGTGAAACTGAGGCTCGGGGAAGTTAAGTGGCTTGTCCACACTAACACAGCAAGTCCAAACCCTTCTTTCTCCTGACACTGGGGTCTAGAGATCTTCCCACCATACAACTTTGCCTTTCAACATGCTTTTTTTCTTTTCTGTTAATCAAATTTTGTTTATGTGAGGAAATGATGAGATTCACACCCTATTATTAATGATAGTAAAACCTAGCATATCTATAATGCCTTATAGTTTGAAAAGCACTGTTTCTTAGAAAAGCACTATTCTTTACATGTAATTTTGTTTTATGCCCACAGCAACCATAAGATGAGTCCTATTATTATCCCCATTTTGCATCTAAAGAAACTGAGGCAGAGAGAGATTAAATGATTAGTCCACATTGCTAGTCAATATTTGGGGTGAGATTTGAATTCAGCTTTTCTAGAATCCAGCTTTATCTACTGCTCCACCTAGCCATCTTACAGTGCTTTTGTCCCATGCTCCAAATGCCAGAATAAATAGTCTTGTGTCCTATTCTCCTTAAAGGCAATCCTGGTCCTCATACTCTCAACAGTTCTTAACTTGGGCTCCAATTTTTAAAAATATTTTGATAACCAAATTTCAATATAATTGCTTTCCTTTTAATTCTCTATATTTTATTTTATCCATTTGAAAACATGATTCTGGGGGCAGCTAGGTGGTGCATTGGATAGAGCTCTGGCCGTGGAGTTCAGGAGGACCTGAGTTCAAATCCAGCCTCAGGCACTTGACACTAGCTCTGTGAACCTGGGCAAATTGCTTAACCCCGACTGCCTCATCAAAAATGAATAAATAAATGGATGAATGAATGAATGAATTAATTAATTAATTAATATTTTTAAAAAATGAAAACATTACTGTAAGAAGGGGTCCATAGGATTCTCTATTGTCAAAGGGTCCTATGACACACATAAGGTTAAGAACACTTGGACCAAAGACAGGAATAAGTATTTATTAAGTGTGTACTATGTGCAGGTGTTTTACAAATATGTTATTTGACCCTTACAACAACCCTGAGGTTGGTGTTATTATTATCCCCAAACAAACAAACATTATTAACAAAATTAAGTGACTTGCCCAGGGTCACACAGGTAGCAAGTATCCGAGTCCAGATTTGAACTTAGGTCTTCCTAACTGCAGGTCCAGTGCTCCATCAACTGTATCACCTACCTGAATTAGGAGAGCCCTGGGACTCATACCCCTTAAGGGTAATATTAGGCTTTAAACTACTGAGGAATCCCCCATACATCAAGCACAAAGTAATTATATTTAATACATGTTCAGGGACTGGAACTTAAAATGAGGCAACATATATAGAAAGTCACTTATCCTGCCTTTGGGCCTGTTGTGCTCATTTTGTATTCTCTCTGTATTCTAGACAGGCAAAGTTGTCAGATAAGTGTGTTCTAGGTAAGTGAGGTATAACGGCATATACTTTAGTCCACGTTTATTGTGATCTCTCTGAATTGGTCCTCTTTTAGCTAAATTTACAAGAAAATACCAGTTAAGTATCAGTTTTGTCCATTCACTAATGGGTTTCCTTTGTAATCCTTTGTATCATATTTTAATAATTGAAAAACATTATTCTAAGAAGGGGCCCATACACTTCCCCAAACTGTGAGGTCCAGTGACACATAAAGAGGCCCACAAAGCTACAGGCCACAGAATGAAATGGAACTGTGTCAGAAGTTCAGACATAGTTTTCACTCAGGATAATAATTAAACTATAATCAGGGGTCCTTCAACCTGTCCCTCTACTCCCTTCCTCAGTAGACAGAGAAATTCTACCCATGCCACAGAAAGACAAAATTGAGGCACCAAAGGAATAATCCATAATCACCTTGGATTCTCTCAAAAGTAAAAAGAAAAGACAGTATTTGACAAAGTTTTCAAGCCCATTCTTGTTAAATATAGCTTATTTAACCTGTCCCCAACTAAAGTGGGGGAATGTTACAAAGCCTTTATTAATGGGTGTTTTCATCAGATCTAGAAGAGGGGATGGAAAAAGCAAAAGCTGGCAACTAGGGCTAATTTCCACCAAAGATAATCAGACCTCCAAATCACATTTTTATCTACTCACACATATCTCAGTGGGGATCTCACCAATGTCTCAGCCTGGGCTGAGTGAAACTTTATTAGAGCCAGCTCATAGAGGCCTCCTTTGATATAGGGGACTAAAAAGAGCATCCCAAAAGAACTACTTATAGCTTCCTGGGATGTAGGATTTAACACCTCAAGTCAGATCAACAGCTGATTCAGGAAACCAAGGTCTTTCCTCCTGATTGGGGGTACAACAATAAGGACACGGGAGTACAATGGGAAGATAAGCACAGAGAGGTGATCTCTCCCCAACCAAAGGTCTGGTTAACCCATTTCCATATTTCTGTCTTTGCACAGGCTGTGTCTCCCATGCCTGGGATGCAGTTCTATCCTCCCTCGACCAATCACTGTCTTACTTCAAGACACAGCTCAAGCACTATCTATATAGGAAACTTTTCCTGATCCTCCTCCCCCAATTACAAGTGATTTCCCTCCTTGACTACCTTCTATTCTACTCCTTTGAATTTATTTTGTATTTTTTTCCTTTATTTGCTTATATATCAATGTGCTCTATCTCCAATAAGATGAAGGTTCCTTGAGAGTAGGGACTGGTTCATAGATTTTTTTCAGCACCTAGGACAGTGCCTGGAACATAGCTTATGAGCAATAAAGGTGTGATTGACATAATTTGTTACCCCTCCCTAGGGAATATGTATTTTAAAATAGGACGACAAGCTTAGTGTGTGTATTTGCATGTGTGTGTGTGTGTGTGTGTGTGAGAGAGAGAGAGAGAGAGAGAGAGAGAGAGAGAGAGAGAGAGAGAGAGAGAGAGAGAGAGAGAAGTTGTGTAGTGTAATGGCAAATGAGCTAGATTCTAAGTCAGAGACAAAGTAGCACAGTGGGATGGAGAGTTGAAACTGCAGTCAGGAAGATGGGTTCAAATCCATCCAGCTTCTATTAGCTGTGTTATTCTAGACAAGTTGTTAAACCTTTCTGGATAAATTTTAAATTTCTTCATCTGTAAAATAAGGGAGTTGGATTTGATGTGACCTCTAATGTTGCTTCCATTTCTAAATCTCTGATCTAATGATCCTAAGCCTGGATTCTACTCCTGGTTCTGCCACTGAGTAACTGTGTGATCTTGAGTAGGTCACTTCATTTCCATAAACTCAGTTTTCTCATCTGTATAATCAGGACATTCGATTAGACAGAGTCTTGGCATAGACTTCTGCTTTCATTGAGACAAGGCATCCCTGATTAGGACACATCTCTACTAATGCATGTTAGCTTGGCAACTGAGAGTCTTGGAGATGATAATAATAACAACTTGTCTTTTCATAGCATGCCTTTTCAATTTTACAAAGCATTTTCCTCCTAAAAACCGTGGAAGGCAGATGGTACAAATAATTCATAATATCTTTATTTTCTAGATGGGCACACTGAGGCTCAGAGCAGTGAAACAATTGGCTTAGGGTCATACAGGTGATATGTGTTTGAGGCCATCTTCTTCACCAAGTGCATCACTTTCCCCCCACAAATTACACAGTTTAGCAGAAGTGTTTAGCCTTGTTTGTGTCATGGGCCCCTGTGGCAGTCTGGGGAAGCCAATGGACCCCTTTTCTGGTTAGTGATATTACATGCATAAAATAAAACTGATTACAAAGGAAACCAACTATACCAAAATAGTTATCTACATATTTTTTAAAATGAATTCACAAAAAAAAATGAGTTCAAAATCTTCCAGGTTAAGTACTAGTGGTAGGACCCTTTGAGTCTGAATATTCAGGATTTCCATGAAGGCCTTTCAAACTTGCTGGGTGTGTGGCTCAAAAGAGATCCATTCTGATAGGAAAAGGCCTTTGGAAGTCACCAAGTGTTGGAACTGATGAGTAATACAAACATCCACATTCAGAGATCTGTGAATTCATCAGAATAAACCCTCCTCTACCAATGACCCTGCAGGCTCTAGAAGATGGTCTCAATGAGCTACTACATCCAAAGATAGTCATCTCCTTGTGACCAGACTTTTGGTGCTGAGCCTTTGTAAACACAGTTCTTTGCAAAGAATGGATCGTGGGTGATGGCCACCCAGTTGATCCCCAGGCCTATCCTTGAAGGGTTCCTCATTTTCTAGACCCTACCAGAGACTGTCTTCTCTCTTTTTTCAAGGCAATTGGGGTTAAGTGACTTGCCCAGAATCACACAGCTAATGAGTGTTATGTGTCTGACCTCAGATTTGAACTCAGGTCCTCCTGACTCCAGGGCTGGTGCTCTATCCACTGCACCATGTAGTTGCCCCCAAGATTGTCTTCTCTTAAGAGATCCACCAAGAACTCATCTCTGTGCTGTGATGAGGGATTTGGGAAGGACTTCAATAAAGAGCATCACGGCTAGGACAATTAAAATAATCTGTAGCCCTGCCTTGAAAAGCCCATGATCCTATAGGGATAGATATGCTGATAGATAGATAGATAATACACATAGATGCTGAGAGGAACTGTACCAATAGGTGAATTTAAGTATG